ACTTGCTTGACTACCACGCCGGGTATTCAAACTGTTCGAAGCGTGTTAGAACTATGTTTGTGAAGACAAATGTCTTGAGCCCAATCCGCGAAAGTATCTCTTTTATCCGGTGGAAGCATGTTGAAACGGCTCGGCGGTGTCAGGCGAAGGCACCGTGCACGATCTAGAACGTATTCGTATACTGCTAAAGCTTTCACGAATAGCACACTGTATATAACTCAGTGGTTGTGTAGACCTGAACTAGACGAGGCAATCAATGCCACGATACGCCAAGCTTATGCAACCCCTAGCGGAATTAATGAGGAGAGTGTAATCGCTATATAGGTGGACGGATCTATCGTCTAGCAGCAAGAGCTCCGATGCAAGATTTCAGCTGAAGTGATGAGCTTCAACAGCATCTTCGTGTCGTAAAGCTGTCCTCGGAAACTATGACCCAACTAGCTCACCCCCAATGCCAGGGTCTGTCCATGTTTGTAGGCGCACAAGAACGTCACAGGGATGCTGTGGTATCTCAGGTTCCGTATGAGCTCTTTACCTGTGCGCTGTGGAGCTACAACATTTGTCACTTATGCTCTAGATCCGGTCTTCTTCCGGTGCTGCTTGACGTTGGTCGTTGTGAGCTTTCCATTGTGGAGACGTGCCAGTATGATGATTACTTATTGTAGCGTCCTTGTGAATTCCTTTTATACCCGGACCATCGGATCTTGCGCATTATTTTTAGTCGAGCGACTTGACTTCGGTGCCGAAATACACAGCTAGATCGACGGGCTCTATGGCATGCGACTACGAGATTTAAGGCATCAGCGGTGGATTTCCTGTGTGGGCGGATCTTCTGTGTAGATGGGGATCTAACTCGTCGAAGTATGCGTAACCCGACAAGTGCCATTTGTACTCGCACCTACGCTAAAGGATGGTTTCGAGGCCCATGTACATGGCTCGGTGGGGCAATTCAGCAGGACGCAGTAGCCACTGACCCGTCTCTATCCCCCCAGTACGTATAGATGGTCAGCTATGGCATCAATCAAAATAATTGTCTTGCACACGTCACATACAAAAACTACATTACATAATCATGGTCACTCTTTATCAACTAAGAGTTTGTATGGGCAGAAAGCCCATGTTTCCAAAACGTCATCTTCGACTTCAACAACACGGGCATTATCGCTGGAAGTAAAAGTCCCTAAGCTTACCGGAGAGCTTGCATGCTTCCTTTGGTTTAGGCTTGTTGCGCAGCCCCATATCTATCCTTTCCACTGCTTCTTTTGGATTTGAGAGCTTTGCAGCTTGTCGAGCAAACTTAGTCGCTTGCTAGGCGGTCTCTTTCGCCCGAGCTTTCTTACATTTCGCCGTCTTGGTTGTATACTTAATGGCTTCCTTAGCACGCGTTTCTTCAAGTTTGTCTGTCTTCTCTTAAGCATCTCTGCGTCGCTCTATACGTTAAATACGGACCTTTTCTCATCAATGAAATCGCGCTTACATCGTTTCGGTGGCTGAAGAGCTAGAAACATCTTTACTGACAAGGTTACAACATTCTGGGTGGAGAGGCCTAGCTTGCGGCGCTTCAGTACTGCTTGGGTGAGAGAATATCCTTGTGTTACGGAATCTACGAATTATGTTCTTCACAGAAAAAGGCTTGCTCGAATGGAACTTTGCTAATTTCACCAACGCCATCCTTAACCGGTAATGCCCCGTTGTGGGTGAACGGATACTCGGATACGCCTTTGTTGTACAGCAGCTTGAAAGCGTCATTCACACCGACGTCTAGACGTTGCAAGAAGTGTGCGCAGGGAGAACGAATATATGGACATTGTTTTTCTTGC